ACCCTGAGGAAGTAACTTCTCATGGAGCAAGAGTAATGCAAAAGCAAGAGGAACTTCACAGTTATTTTTAGGAAAAGATAGTGTTTATCCCAGCAAAACTAAAAAAAGTTGTTGAGACATTACAAACTTGAAACCTAGACAGTTGTGGTTTTGCTTTTCTGTAATTATTTTAAAGTGAAGGGATTTCTTTAAATGTGTACTCTATAGTCCTGTCAGCTTGAGCAGTCCTCCACATACATTTTTATTTGTAAGCAAATTAGTATTTTCCTATGTGTTATATGAAAAAAAAAAGAAACCACTAAAAAGCTGGAAATCAATAATACCAGAAAAGAAGTAAACCTGATAAAGTGCTTTCAAATGCASATTTTGAGCACTTTCACAAATAAAAAAGTCATATTGAACAAATGCACAGATCAGCATAATAATAAATAAATAGTGTTGTGACAGACTGGATGATTCAGGAGAAAGCAGAGAAGGGTGTAGAGATGCCATTAAAAAATCCATCAAGATGGAAAGGGATAAAACCAGCCTTGCCTGCCTTGGAAAACTCCTGTCCAAGGAAAACTGAACAAAAAAATGACAGGGACACTCAACTGGAACAAATTGCTCAGTTCAYTTTGGTTAAACTCCTGTTAAAGATCCTTTGGCAGAGTTCTGGTGACAATTGTGGCAGTGGCCAAGTGCTCTGACCTGGGGATAGAAGTGGTTTTTTAGAATGATGATGATTRAAAAAATGATAGAAGCATTTTTTAAATGCTGCTGTGGGGGGAGGAAAGAGGAGGATTAAGGGAAGTTTTGGTGGCAGTTGCATCCATAGATAGAATTGGGAGAGCCAAATTGCAGGAATGAGTTAATTTGGCAGGAAGTTTTGCACAGTTTAGGAGCTGCTATTCAGACTGGGTTACTTCTATACAGAAATCTTTCAGTGGTCTAATTTAAAATCCACTAAAACAGCAAAAAGCTGAAAATACAAGCTAATCCTTAGAAAGGTGACTGGCAATAGATCTGACAGAATGTTTAGTTTGTTCATCACTTGCTATTTCAAAATTATGGGAATTAAAAGGCTGACAAGCTTCTATTACAAAGATTGAAAACCCAACCAGCACATGTTGTGCAGTCAGGTTGTAGGAGGTTCTGTGCCAAAAAAACTGGGTAAACAAGAGTGAAGTGGCCATTTCTGGAAGCAGAGTGATGAAAAGGCAGCACATGAGTTTGTTTGAACTGTGCCTTTGCTGTGTTTTGGGGCTTCCCCACCATTTGTGTTGTGAAATTCATTGCAAGAGTGGAACACTGCTCCAGTGGTTATTTGAAGTTAATGTTTAGAAACATAATGCAAGATACAGCATCTTTGGGACCAAAAAATGTTTATTGTGGAATTGGGCCACTTTGCTAAAGGAGACTCTTCAGCAGCTATTTCATTATGTAAGGTATTAAAGATTGTATTAAATTTTCACCTTTTCACTATAAACACTGGACCTAACATAGAAAAACTACTACTGAACTGAAAAGTATTATTTTCAATAAGCAGACAACTGATTAGTATACAATATAGTAAGCTATGAGGATTTTTTTTTTTTATTCCTTGCCCTTCTTGTCCAGTTTTTCAAATCCAAAATGGAGTGTGGAAGATAGAAGCACTTTTGAAATAAAAATTTAACTAAGTCCTTGAAGAAGAAAAGACACATTTGTCATAAAGAGGTTCTCCATTAATGCCATAAATGTATCTTCATGAGAAGTTAAAATTAAGATCCTATAGGTAACCTATTATAAATCTCATTTTACAATATGAAGGCTCTGATGTTGTTTTCTGAGTACACAAGTTTGCATATGAGAGAAGAGAGTCCTTGAAATCATAATAGCAAAGAGAGGGTTGTCCTGTGATAATCTGGAGGCCATTGCTGCAAGGAGTTTTATTTTAATTTCCTAATGGAACAAATCTTTATTGAGAGCATCTGTTTATTTGCCTTATTTCCCTTAATTTTATTGAACCCTCTTCGTGAAAGCAGCAAGAGYTCACAAATGAGTAGAGGTCTTGAATACATTTATAGGAACATAATAGTCCTTTTAAATTGAAAACTGAATAGAGGAATGTGATACAAATTCGTGCTCCTAACTGAATTAAATCTCAGTTTTGAGAGGCAACAGGCAGGTGTTTAGAAGGCACTAATGGTGCAAATCCATGGTTCTCTGAGCTTCATTAATTCTGATGCTCATGGAAGAATTATTAGACTCCTTTGGATGCCCCATTCTTCATACAAAGATGAGATAATTTAATAACACMGAGTTATACATAGAAGTTTCACATATTTTTAGGCAGACAAAACAATTCTTTTTTTTTTTTCACTCACCTTATGTCATCTTTGTCAAAATAAAATGAGGAGCGAAAATGAGGAAGTTTATCTTCCTGGTTTCTCATTGAGGATAAAAATAAATAGGAGTTCTGGAGTAATTTTGTTACAATGAGGAAGGTTTCATTTCCCCTTGTAACTGAAATACAGTTGTACAAGTAAAGAAAAAAGAGACAAATAAAATATGAAATTTGGGTTTCTGTGGGTTTAGTGACAGCTCACACCTAACTGCTCTGCTCATGGCATCCTTACCTGGCATGGGCTGACTCTCCAAGGAAAATGCTTTGGAGAAGCTTGTTTGGATTTTAGCAATCAAGCTGTGGACAAGGAGGATTAATGACAGAGAAATAATACAGAATCATGGRGCAKAAGGARTTTAAAGAGRGTGACAGCAGAGCTGAGGTTKGAARGCACCTCTGGGATTGGTCTGGATCAGCCCAGGATTATGTTCACATTGAAACAATTCAGTTTTCTTAAAAAAATTTACTTGGGCAATYGTGCTGTCAGTCCTTTATTTCTCACTTTCGTAGCACAGTAGTCATTTAAAACAAAAGATATAAATATGTAGTATATATAGTATATTAGTATTATATATATGTAATATAATCTTTAATATAAAAATTAAAGTGGTAAGAAATCTGAATGTGTGAAGCGTAACTAAGGGGTAAATACAGCCCTGGAAATAAGGATGGATATAAGAGTAGAAGAAAAAAAAATGGACATGTATTCAAAATGGGATGATAACAGTGATGGCTCTTCTAAAGAGGCTGTTCCTGTATTATTTGAAATCAGCAGAGAATGAGGAGGAGAGAAGGCAGATGATAAATGATTCATTTGTTTGCCTCCTCCTTGAGATTCCTTTCTTTGCCAGCTCGAGTTAACAGATGTCTTAAAGACTACGAATTCACAGGAAAATAACACCAGACAATGGGCAGCCAAGACTGTATTCTGATAGTCTAAATATTTTGTTCCTCMTATTTTATCAGCTATTGATTCTGAAAATCTAGAAAAGCTTTTACATTATGGAATGACTTTGCTCACAAACACTTGGGTTCAATGAGCCTTTCAATATTTGAATTTTAATCTGTTCTGTTCATTGTGACCCAGCCTTTGGTTCCAGGCAGATCAGCCTGATGTCAAATATCAAAGTCTTTTTTGCAGAACTTTGTGATCWTTGGTGAGAATGAATTTCAAAGGATCCTCTTTAATGAAAAAAGGAAATTTTACAGGGTTAATTGAGAGCAGCCTGTGTTTTCAGCTTCAGTAGGGAAGCATTTCTCTGCAGTCACTATTCACTAGGTCTGATTCTTGCCTTAATATGTTAATCCTGTTAGGGATCAGGAAATTCCACCCTCAGGTCTGTACTTTGGGAATACTGAGAYTTGTTGCAACAAAACTTTTGCAACCCAAAGCAAACACAACTGTGTATTCAGCATTTAAATAAATATGTAAATATGCATTTAAAGGACCAGAAACAGAACAAGATGTGAAGTAATTATTCTGACTCAAAAGGGATTATTGAWATACTCCCTCTTTAAGAAAAAGGTGAGATACATTGGTGGATATTTTATCATTTGTGTGGATCTCTGAATTGAAGTGAAAGCTGAAGGACTGACAGCTCTGAAATTGCTGCCAATACTCTGTACTGTAATTTTGCCTTGAAAGGGCAGTTTTTAATAATGACACAGACACAGTTAAGGGGATAAAAAGGGTTTTACCTCGGGATTTGGGATCCCAGGTGCACAACTTGATGGCAGAATGCACCCCCGTGTACAGCACAGATACAAGTTTTATAGGTTTCAGGAATTAGCAAATCTATCTAGGATTCCCCAATAAGATACAAGTTTTATAGGTTTCAGGAATTAGCATATCTATCTAGGATTCCCCAATAAGATACAAGTTTTATAGGTTTCAGGAATTAGCATTTCTATCTAGGATTCCCCAATAAGATACAAGTTTTATAGGTTTCAGGAATTAGCAAATCCATCTAGGATTCCCCAATAAGAAACTTCACAAATGCAGTGATGTCCCCTATTCTAATGAATCCCCCCAGATGAGGCAGAGCTCAGTTTACACAAGATGTTCTGGACAGAAGGCTTCACCCAAGGCTGAGCTCAGGTTTAAGCTTCACCCAAGGCTGGAGCTCGGGTTTAAGCTTCACCCAAGGCTGAGCTCGGGTTTAAGCTTCACCCAAGGCTGAGCTCGGGTTTAAGCTTCACCCAAGGCTGAGCTCGGGTTTAAGATAGCACAGGGCACACTGAGCCCTTCCTCAGGATGTTTGGTCTCTCTGCCCAGCAGAACTCCTAAACTGAGCTGGAATATCAGGAATTACAAACATGGGGGCTAAGGGGTACAGGGGATGCACAGAGGGTACAGAAAGTGTAAAAAGGAAAAGCAAAAATCATCAGGCATCAGTAAAAGCCCCGAGGGACAGCGTTTGTGCTCTTCTGCAGCAAAGGAATGGCCATAAAATGCTGAATTTTGCACTGCAGTGAGATGGACTCTCTGTTGGACTCTCTGTCTCTGCCTTCCTCTGTTTCCTCACACAAATTTGGCTTTGTTCACGAAGCTCTGTGCAGTTCAGAGGTCTTTTCCATGCACACATATCCATTGCAAATTGATTTGAAGAGCGTGTTTACCCTCCCAGTGAAGGTCATCAAATCTGGGATTCCACTCCGGGTTAAACTTCATCTGTTGGAAAAGAATATGGAGCAGTGCTGTGTTTGCTTTAGCAGAGTCATATCCTACCTCAGTGCGCTCTTTTTTGAGAATAAAAGCTATCTTTGTCTTACAAAAGGGTGTTTTAATTGCAGTTTTAGTGCAGGTTTCAGCTCTCTTAGTGGGTTGTGAGATACTGAAAATCTGTGAGTGCTACAAAATAGTAAAACAAGGTAAGTGATCTAAGGGTGGAAAAGAAATGGAATTTACTCAAAAAAAAKAAAAAGAGTGACTTAAGCAATAAGTTACTTAAAGGGCTATTTCTGGAAATTAAAAGTATGAATCATCTCAGATGCAACGAAGTTATCAGATATTTTGCTTGCTTCATCATCTGCCTTCTTAAAGGCAAAAGATAGTGAATTACTCAAAGCTTTAAAATATTTATATCAACCTTTCCTTGCAGCATAAAGATATCAAGTGTCTTTTATGAGGTGCTTGATTGAAAATTAAAATTTTGTCATAGTCATAGATTTTTTTTTTATTTTTTATTTTTTATTTTTTATTTTTTATTTTTTATTTTTTTTTTAAATCTGAGGTGTTGCTAGCTCCTTAAATAAAGTTTTCTGTATTACTGTATTTCCTTACTCATTGGATCTCAATAATCTAAGCAGTACATTATGAGAACAGCCAGGGTTCATATGAGTTCCCAGATTTTTGTGGAGGTATCTGGACTGATATGAGTAGATGATTTAATATTTACAGATGRCTGTATCAGGATATGGTGTAACTCCCAGCAGCTTGGTAAACATACACAATAATTCCAGCCCTGAGGATAAATATGAGCATTAGGCTGGAATTGGAGCTGTCTGTGGCTGAGCTGTGCTGTGGGAAATAAATAAAGGAATAAAGGCATGACCAAGAGTGGCTGGGAAAAATCACCTGAAATTCCTTGATCATTCAAGGGCTGCCACTGGAAACTGCATATTCCTGTTTCCCTTCTCCAAGAAGCATCACAGATCARTCAGAAAAATCTGATCAATCTCTGATCTTTTTAAAGCAAGATTTTAGTGGGTATTTGTAGCTGAAGTAGTGACAAATGGCACGTGATAAAAGGGCTATTGCATTTTGTGTGATAAATATGAAAGGCTTTAAAGTCATGAATGATCAGTGAGATGGCAGCAAGGTTTTTAGAAAAGTTTTTTTGTGCATAGTGCTTAAATGAAAACATTCTTGAGTGTTCTTTCAAATGGATAGAATTGGAGAATTATGCATATCTGTGAGCTGGAAAATAACATTAAACCTACAACTGTTTTATCCTACTGTCTCAATCTGTATGTTGAATAATATTAATACAGGAACATGCATTAATATTGAATAATATTAATACAGGAACATGTATTAATATTGAATAATATTAATACAGGAACATGTATTAATACAGAACAGGAAATATGTTACTGGAAATGTAGGTAATAACTGTAAATCTTGTGGATCATAAAGCAGCAGGAGTATATTACAAGAAATTGTGTGCATTTRTTTTTTCATACTTTAATAATGGTTGTTTTTAGTTATGGAGAAGAAGTTACAGGAGAATGTTTTTTTTTTTTATTGCTGTTTTTAAGCAGTGTGATTGATATGTGTATCACTCAAACTCACCCCCATAAACAGAGTGGATCTGCAAAACACATCCAAGCATCCTTGTCGTTCTAAATTGCTTTATTTCATTATTGTAAAGACAAAAATTCATCCCTGAAGGATTTAAGGGGCTTTTTGGACAGGCAGGGAAACTTAAGAATAATTAAGGAAGTGATGAGAAAAGAACTGGGCAAAAGAGAGGGGTGTTGTGTGGTTGTGRAAAAGTGTTTGGATTGAGCTCTTTGGGGCTGTTGTTGGGTCATTGGGGACCAATATCTTTCCTTGACATTGTAAGATGCTCCATGATTTTGATTTTTCCTGTTTTTGCTGGATACAA